AGCAACACTGGGGAGACATTTAAAAGCCTTGGTTCCTCATACTGGGTTGCAGAAGCCTGTACCTAATTTCTAATGAAAATATGTAGTTTATCATATTAGTATCTGGCTGTGCGTCTCAGTTGCCAGGCTAGAAGAATACAGGAAGCAATCTTTGTGTTCATCCACTTGATAGGATGAATTGCAAGATGTATACACATGTGTGAAAGTGTAAATGGATGAGTTTTACCCACATTATGCACTGTTACATTTTTGTGTGTTTATAATTTTTTTTATTAAATGATTTACTTTGATTTTTTCTGGTAGAGTTAGCCTAACTTAGTACAATGCCACATGAAAATCTGCTTTTACAACTTTGGGAAGAGGTTGAAAGTGAGTCATCAGATAATCCTGCTACTGATGGTGACTGTGATCATGTAAGCCAACGAAATTAGCAATATATTACAGATATGACAGAGAAGTGCAAGAATGAAGACCTTGATTCAGATGAGAAGAAAACAGTAACATAAATAAGTATTTGACTAGTAAAAATGCTGCAAAATGATCATGTATACCTGAATGATCCAAAGCTATAACTAGGTTAGAAAATGTTAATAAGTTTTTGCTGAGGTGAAATTTACTGCACAGAACTCTAACAGTGCAATTCAGTGTTGGAAATTGTAACGGATGATGTGCTACAAGATGTTTTGAAATACACAAATAATGCAATACAAGAAAACATTCTATGTATATATTAATAGTAACACTCAAAAATATTTATCATGACACCTCATTATCTGAACCAAAAGCCTTCAAATCAGGACTTTATCATTCTAATCGTCAGAATCTAAAGAAAGTGACAGGTGTAGTGTTGCGATTTTTAGAACAATAATGACACTCAAGATATTTGGTTTCCTTTAAGATTGACCATGTTTTGATGACAAAAAGACCTGCTAAGGAAGAAAAAATCTTGACAATTTGGCTATTATCTGCTCATTTTTTGAAAGCTTTGTTTTGAACTGGCAAGCAGTTTACACACCATCCAGACACGTGACAATAGACAAATAAGTCGCATCATTTTGTGGTTGTTGAGGCTTTCAGCAATATATGCCCAGTAAATCTTCCAAATAGGGTATAAAAATATATGCCCTGGCATATGTGCAGACATTTTGCACTTGAAATTTAGAAATTTGTCCTTGAACTCAGGTACCACATATTTCTTTGTGCAGTAATAAATCATATGACTTTCTCACCAGGCTTCTACGTATTCCAAAAAGTAACCCAAATGTCACATTTGACAACTGGTTCACTAGTTATGTGTTGATGTTACATTTGCTAAAAGATCACTAGTTGACCACCACAGTAACTATTTGCAAGAATAAAGTTGTGATTCCTGAAAAAAATGTTGCAAGTTCACAGTGGAGAAATGCATAGTACAATCAGAAATACATAACATTGGTCTTCTAGGTATGATAATTGATGCAGAGATTATTTCTACATTAGTTTTGTTTATATTTTTATAGTAGTTCATATAGAAATTTATTTCTGCTGTTACTTTTAGGTTTTGTAAGCAAAATCTTCTAACAGATGATACTGAAAATGTTGATGCTATTCTACACACTTATTACCTATTAAAACTTCAATATTTTGTTTTACAGATATGTTATTTCCCTGTTAAGTACACATTGTTTAATGTAATAACACTCATAAAACTAAAAATGATTCATGAATAGAAATTTTCCTAAAAATAAGCATGAGTGTTATACATCCCCATAATGTTCCTTTTCTAAAAATTTGCCATCGTACCCACAGGGCTAAGATCTAAACTGTAGCACATTACTAGGCCTGCATCCTATGATGCTTTTTTTTTTCTTGATGCCATTGTATTACTGGGTTTTCATTGCTTTCTCCTTAGTCCTGTGAATGTTGCTGAACTGATGGATTTAGTGTTTTTCTCCAAATTTGTACTGCAAAGAGGAGCCAGCTGATTGGCTTGAGTAGGTTGGTTGCCGCAGAAAATGTGTACGCCTTACCTTCTCTAATAGTATTGCCGCCTACATGGCTCTTGAACTTCTTGGCTTGAGGACCATGAAGGGTGGTGAGAAGGTGAAGAAATAAAGACCAGACACAGAAAGCTGGGATCAGGTGGAGGCCTGTTTCTGGATGGGACAAAAGGAGCTGCTCAACCAGTGCAGTGCATTTATTTATACATTTGGCAAGTTAGGGTCACGTGACAGCCTGTTGCTTAATAGTCTGCATGTGTGGCAACCTAACAGCTTGGTTCTCTCCAGACTAAAGCAATTGTTCACATAGCTTGCCGGGGTGTTCTTTGTTCTCACAAGGCCTTGCTCTAGTCCTGCAGGTGGGACTAATCTTCAGCTTCAGCTGCTCCTGACAATGTATACACCTTACCTTCTGCACTACTTGATGAAGACAAAACACACCATATAGTGCACTGCAAGTTGAGCTGCACCTATTAATATCAAAACTTCAGATTAATTAAAAAACACACCATAGTTTTTGGTCATTTTCCAGATTTGAATGCAGTTCACTGTTTCTTCACTTCAGCAGTCAGTGTATTGAGTGTCAGCTTTAAACAGGGCACAGCCTGGGCAGGGTGCTTGCTGAACACATTCAGGACAACTGAGAAGGGCGGGCTTGGCCTGTGGGTCAGTGGACTGTGGCCATATTTGTTGGCTTCTACACTGTGGTATAGGGTAGACAGTGCCTAAACTCTCTGCTCAGAGCAAAACCCCTTGGTTCCTGACCCTGTCTCAAAAATTCCAATATCTTTGTTAGCTGATCTTAACCAAGTTATTTAAACTTTTTGTGATTCAGTTTTCTTTTTGTTTTGTTTGTTTTTGAGACAGTCTCACTACATGCTTCAGTTTGCTTAGTAATAGGTGTCTTAGTTACTTTTCTCATTACTGAGTATATTTAGCTTACAGTTTGTGGAGGTTTCAGTCCATGATCAGTTAGCTCCAAGGCAAAGAGGTGTGGCAGACAGACATGCATTGCAGAGGAGAAATAGTTTGTGATGGGCAGAAGGTAGCAAAACAAGCAAGTGACAGCTCTTTCTGCTCCTTTTATTTTATCTTGGCTACTTAGGGTGGGCAGCACTCACACCCTTAATCCATTCTTATGCTCTTGAGCCTAGCATTATACCATCAGTTGCAGCCTCAGGTACTCCAGATACTAACATCTTTCAACAAATCCCGTCTATGACTGCATGAGACTTTGGGGGGTCCTCTAGATATGAGCCACAACAGTAGGAAAGTGTCCATCAAGCATCATCTGAAGTGTGGCACCTGGTAGTTCAGTAGCATTAATTCCCTATCCTTGTTCTTCTATTTCTTACACAGCTTTATTTTACTGTCATTAAATACTAGTTAAGACTCATCTTGAGGTGTGAAATGGCTAATGTAAAAAAATGCATCTTGGGATTGATGTGCCCATGTTAGTATGAAGTGGGTATCGGGGCACAGGAGGATGGAAAGGTAGAATAGGCATTTGGCTTTTCCTAAATTTGCTTTCTGTGCTTTGTATTAATATCTCTGTGTCTTTGTAATAATCAGCGGTCTCTTTCTTCGTGCACCTGTGTTTGGGTTACTTAGAATTACAGTCTGTATTTGAATAAAAAAAATAAGAAAAAAGAAAAATCTAGGGGCTGGGGATTTAGCTCAGCGGCATAAGCGCCTGCCTTATAAGCAGGCAGTCGTGAGTTCGATCCCTGGTACGGATAAAAAGGAAAAAGACCAAAAAAAAAAAAGATTGAAAAAAAAAAAAAAAAGAAAAAAGAAAAATCTCTGTACGTGCTTTCTAAGGTTAACCTAAAGAAGTGATCTCTCTTGGCTCTGCCATTGTTTGTGGCTTCTCAGGACCTTCTTTTGTCATCTGCAGGGTGAGGGGACTGGGTTCTCTATTTGTAGTACTTTTAAGTCTTAAAAGTTTACTGTTCCCAGAAGTTGGGTTTTCTGTTGTTCATTAAATAATTTATATTCCTTGAAACATTGCATTAGTGGTTTTTCCCCCCTAACAATGTTCATCAAAAGTTCCCCTGGAGATTTTATTGTTTTTTCTTCTTCCACGTCCATGCAAAGGGAAGGATTCTACAGAAAAATAGTCACGGACAGCTTTGGAGGAAGCTCACACTGATCCAAGTGATTCTGTCTCCTCTCTGCATAATTTCTATATACCTAGTGCCTGGCAGGACACACTGCCAGTTCCTTCTGTATGCGCAGCCTCTCCTTTGGTCCACTTAGAAGGGAAGAAAAGTGTCATTGCCCAGTATGTGGCCCTACACTAGTCCCTGCAGGGCAGATTGCAGTGAAGACCACTCAGTTTACACTTTCAGGGGCTAAGCCAGCAGCTGTCACCAGAGTACTTGTTCAAGTGCAGCCTCTCCTGTTCCATATCCAGGTTTCTGATTTTAAGAAAGTCCAGCATTCTGAACTTGAGACAAGTAGCTGTGATGGTTCTTTGTGCAGTGGACTTTAAAACAGACACTTGGAGAAATCTTGGTAAAGTGTACCCGCCTGACTGTTTGAAAGATTGGCAAGCAGATTTGAATTTTATTTATGAAGTCTCCCTTTGAGAATGGCAAGCCTACTTCTTTCTTGTGCAAAATAGGGATGAATTTATGATTTTTATAGAAACCAGGTGATTTTCTGCCTGGTGGGCTTGTCTCTCAAGTCAGACAAAACTCAGTGTGTTTCATTTCAAGACCACTTGCCCGGAGCTATAAAGACGATTATAGCATACGAAGTACAATGTTGAGTGCCTTTTCAGAATTTGGAAGTTAAGCATTTTAACCCTTTTTTACTGGGGATTGAGGGACAGATTCAGGTTTTTAGACTTAAAAACAAAAATTGAGTTGGATTTTAAACTTGTCAATACTTGGTGTTGTGTAAATTTTTAAGCCACAAAATTATCTCAATCACTAGTTGTGACGATTAGAAGGAAAAACTTCCAGATGATAAAAAATAGTGTGCTAATCTTTTTTCAATGTCATCATTGCTACTCAGGGTGAGAAGTTTGGACCCTTTGCTGGAGAGAAGAGGATGCCTGAAGACTTGGATGAAAATATGGACTACAGGCTCATGTGGGAGGTGAGGTTGGGGCTGTTTAAATACTAAAAATTTGTTCCTTTTAATACTCTAATGAAAATTACAAGAACATGTATATTGATACTGGTTCCAGCTGAGTGCTTTAAATCTGAGTGCTTTAAATCCAGAGTCTTAAATCTGAGGTTTAGAGTTCTAAAAACATTAGACTGCTGAAATATGTTACTAGATAATTACTTTCCAACTCTGAAATTTGTAATTCATTATTGAAAAAATGTTTTGTATGTATTGGATATTTGGATTTCAAAATCATGTGCTGGGTTTAGGATTGGATTTATGAAAATGAAAGTATATTTATCCTTTAACTGTCATCTCCCATGTCAGGTCTAGTTACACAGAAACACTTGTGAGATCTATATTGGAAAAAGCATCCCTCATTAAACTGTACCTTGCCTTTAAAAGCATGTATTTAAGAAACGATGACCCTGTGGGCAGTACTGTATTTGCAGGCCAGGGTTTCTGTCATGTAGGATCTGTATATTGAAGTGAATATCTGAATATTACGAGAATTTCCATCTTAACTTTGACCTATTATATTCTTGCAGGTTATTAAAAGAAAGGCCTGCGCGATAGGCTTAGGGAAGTAGCTGTATGGAGAGTGTTGGAACAAAACATTGGAAAAATTAGGCCCCAAGAATTCTATTTGACAGTTTCTGTGAGGAGGCTAAGAGCCGTGATATGTATGTAGGGGACCTAGAGGAGTAAGGATCATCCATCAAAAAGGCGGGCATGCTGCTGTGGAGACACGCGTATAGAAAGCCTCTCTGACTGTGGATTTAACAGTCAGGGGTTCCAGAGAAACAGAGCCAACACGATGTTGTTTATGGAGGTGAAAAGAGATGTATTGCATGAAATAGTCTAGATGCCCCGAGACTGGAAACTGATGGGAGGTAATGCTGCAGGCTTTAGGCAGAATGTCTTCATTGGGCAACCTCAGTTTTTGCTCTCAATGAATTGGACTGGTTGATGACCATCATATACATGTGGAGGGTAATTTCTTTCCCTTAGTTTATTGTGGGTGTTAACATCCACAAAATATCTATAAGCACCTAGATTAGTGTTTTCTTATGACTGGGTACTATAGCTTAGCAAAGTTGACACATACAATTATAGTGTGTGTTCTGTAAGCAAAAATACATTCATAAGCTTTACTCTTGTTACTGAAACAGCTGGAGAGAAGGATTGAAGGTGCCCAAGAAAGCATTTTCAAAGGTTTCACAGTAAAACTGATGGGAACAGAAATTAATAACGTAGTCCTCACTATAATTTAAGTGGGAAATGTTATTGATACTGCCTTAACTTAGTGTTCTATTGTAATTATTTTTTATGAACCTAAAAATATTTTAGTAGCTTAAGGTCTTAATTTTCTCAGCAGTTAATTCTTTTGCCATGAAAGTTTGCAGAAATCAAACCTTTATGTAACAAAAATAACCCAGATCAGTACCAAGTGATAAAAACAATACTTAATAAGTTATTAATGGCTTTTGATTTTTTTGTTGTTGTTGTTACTGTTGTCTGAAGGTTTTAATGTGATGGTCAGGTTAATGTTTTGCACAGCTGGTTAGAGGCATTGTTAAACAGATAATGATCATAATTTTTATTTTGAAAGAAAGCTTGCAGACAGGCAATTTAAGGCTGCTTTTTATGTTGGCATGTGGTGGCAGCTCAGCAGTACATCTGTAGCTTTGCATTGTCTATTCCTGTAGTTCTTTGATGTCTTTGCATTACTGTTATTTTTAATATACTGTATCCTCAGTCCTCTCACTCTGTCACCCAAAGAGTCGCTGTGTTTTTACATTTACCTTTAGCTAATATTAAATTTATGGTATCATTGCAAACTCTTTTATTTTATAGTTCCAGTTAGAGCTTTGGATAAGTAATATTTGTACTTGTCACACAATTCAGAACCTATAAAGGGTAAATGTTTCTGTTACCTTCACGCCTGCTCCTTTCTCCCATGAGCATTTAACATCTTAGATCCTGTAAGGTCCCCTTCCCTTCTCTGGCTTGCTAGTTCTCCTTTCTCTTAATCTTCTGCAGTTTGGTTTGTCTCCCATTGCAAGCCGTGGTGCTGCTGGGGGAAGGGAAAGGTATTTTCTCAGTCTTTGAAATATAGTCAAGGGCTTTGGAAGTACAAAGGTTTCCTACCAGTGAGGTTTCCTCTTGTCCATTATTATGTTAACTGAGTGTGTTAATTAGCTTTCTGTTGTTGTAACAAATGTCCAAGGCCAATCTTTCTTCCAGTAAGTCTTTGTTTTCTCAGGTAAAGTAGAACATCATGGGAGGATGTGGTGGGCAAAGCTGATCACCTTGCGGCAATCGGGAATGTCGGCAGGCCGAGAGCTGGGCCAGTGGCCCTCTTCCTTCTGCTTGTCACCCATCCAGTCCCTTACACTACTGGACAGAGCTGTCCCATTCAGGGCAGGTCTCTCCCATCAGTTTGCAGGCCCATATTCTGTTTGTTTCTGGAAAATTCCTCCTCACAAACCCACCCAGAGGTGTACTAAGCTCATTTCTTAGGTGTTTCTCAGTGCAATCAAGTTGAGATCAAGATTAACCATCACTATGAATGAACAGTGTCCCAATCTTGAGCTTTACTACTGGAAATCCCTTTTTATTGTTTTAGCTTTGGAGCTGCCAGGATTCAGAAGCCGCACAGAAAAAGGAGGATAACTGGTCTCATTATTGCTTCCTCTCGTGAACCCTTTGTGTTCTCTCAAAGGGCATTACAGAACCTTCTGTTCTCCAATGGGCAAATTGAGACTGGATATTTAGGACATTTCTAATAGAGCTTAGAGCCACGTTGCTAACAACCAGCTCACAAATGAGTAGCCCATCTCATACCAGGATTTTCCTACGTTGTGGTGATGGAACCTGAGCCAGGTACTGGTGAGAATATCTGCAAAATGATGTCCTATGAGGGAGCATGTGGAGGATCTCTTTCTTAATTTGCACCATGCTCCTGGTGCCGTTGGTTTTGGTTGACAAGGCTGGGAGCCCCTGAGTGGAAATTTCTTGCCAAAGTACTTGGAGGCAGCAGGCAGGGCTCAGCATTTGCATCTGGTAGCACTGGATAGTGCATAGAGAGGTCTCAGGAACAGCAGGAGCACTGACATTGTGCGCTGCAAGTTCCTTCTCTCTCCAGAGGCACAGTATGGGATTTTCTGATGCCCAGTGCCTTGGAGGATCTGTCCTTAGTGTTACACTGTCTTTCTGTGTTGACCACAGGATTGGGACGTGGCATCTGAAGAGACCCATCACCACTTTTCTGTTTTCCCTTCCGTCCACTCACTCCCTTTTTTACCTAGCTCCTTTTTCCTTCTCCTCCTTTGGTTCCTTCCTTCATTAGTTTCTTCCTTTCTTCCTTCCAGTCTCTGTCTCTGTCTCTGTCTCTATGTCTATCTCTGTGTCTGTCTGTCTCTCTTTCTTTTGGTGGTGCTGAGTATCAAATGCAGGGCCTCATGAGTATAAAGCTACCATATTACCAGTGTCCTATACTTCCAGTCCTTTTCTTTTTTGCTTTTGTTGTAAAAGAAAGTGAATTAGCTGCCTAATTTAGGTTTTTCAGGTCTTCGGCCATTTATAGGGCTTGAGGGTGGGATTTGTAGAGCTTGACGCTGGACTATGCATGCCACCATTGACAGTTCAGTGGAATGCGTCCAGTTGTTTGTACTGGGCTGTGTTCTTCCCTTAATTAGAAGTCCTTTGGCCAGGTGATTTGGAGCTTGGGGTGAGTTTCATTTCTTCTGCTACTTTCTTAGACTACTCTTTAAAACGAATGTCCATTCATGTACTATTGCTAAAACTCTTGAAACCTTGTTTTTAAATTTGTCTAGTCATCCATTCTTTGTATTATTTTCGTAGGTTTTTCAAACCATACTCTTAGTACATTCTTTTCACTCATAGTCTTTAAGTTTTGGCCCCTGAAGACTACAGTGTAGCTCGTACATTTTCCTTGCTGTGTGTTCCTACATGGGCACTGGTGAATCCAATGTCTATTTAAATTTTTCATACAACTCTGGTGTGTTGGCTGTGGGTCTTTTTTTCCTTTTCCTTTACCTTGAGAAAGGTGTTGCACAGAAACTGGCCTTGTAAATTATTAAACTTTGCATTGTCCTGACTTTTCAGGGAAGTCATTTATTCTGAAACTTGTATCTGCTCAGATCACAATGTCTCAGCTGTGTGCCCTCTTCCCCATCTTCTACACGTCAGGTCCCTGTCTCTTGGGCTTTTAACATCTCAGTGATGTAGCTGAGTGTTTAGCAGTGGGTATGATACATGCAGCCAGATGCTACCTCAAGGGTCAGTAATCGGGGTGGTCTGTTTTTGGCTAACAGTTTGTACCATGTGACCAGTTAAGAATGCACGTGTGTATTCTTAAGGAATGGAAATAAAGATGCGAGTAATCCAAAATATCCAAATTTTGGGTGGTGATTTTTATAGGAAAAAAATAAAATCTCTTACTTAGATATAGATTATGTTCTTACTATTATATCATCTATAATTTAAGCTAAAAGTATTTATCATAACACAAGGAATTTTTTTTTTCCTTTTTGAGACAGGGTCTAGCTTTGCAGTTCAGCCTGGCCTTGGGCTCGCTTTGTAGTGCAGGCTGGTCTCAAACTCACAACCCTCTTCCTGCCTCAGCCTCCCGAGTGCTGGGATTACAGGAGTGTATCACCATACCTGGTGAAATTTTTATTTTAAAAGTACTTCTGGAACCCTCAGTTATAACAGTGTGGGACACACTGAGAGGAGTCCTTTTTTTAACCTCCCTGAGCCTGACAAGGACACACGCAATGTTTATTTTCCTAGATATATTCCCTGAAGGATCAGTGAGGAAAACTGTTTTTAAGCTTGTAGCCAATGGAATTACCAGAGCAAGAAGTCATTATAGTTTACTTGATAGCCGGCTATTATAAGATGCACATGCCAAATTATCATAGTTTTATTCATTTGTGTCAACAGAAAATACATTCGTTCCT